CCCTGGTTTGCAGGTTCGGATCTCAGGCACAGACCTATAAACTGCTCATCAAGCCATGCTGTGGCAGCCTCCCACATACAAAACAGGAAGATTGGCACCGATGTTAGCTCAGCAATAATATTCCTCAAGGACAAAGAGGAAGATTGGCAACAGATGTTAGCTCAGGGCCAATCATCCTCACCAAAAAAAAAAAAGTATATGACAATTCCTGGCCTGTGCAATCTGGTTCAAAAACCACTTAACAAATAAGCACTACAAAGAAGCATATACTGAGTGCCAAAGCATTCTATGGATACAAACTACTGGGCTGGGATGGCCAGAAATATACATGTCCATAATCGATGGCGTGTGAATTCTCACATGCACCTTTGCAAAGGGAACTCTTTTTAAGGCCTGGAAGGGTAGGATAGGGGTTAAAAGTAGACAACACAGACTGGCAGAGTTCAAATCCAGGCTGTATTACTTACTCACTGTACAACCTTGAGGAAATTACTTAACCTCCCTGGACCTCAGTTTTCTCACCTGTAAAGTGAGGATAAAAATAGAGAGCACCTACTTCTTGGTATTACGAAAATTAATGAATTGAGTGCAAATAATATGAATTGCAAAGCACTTGGGACAGTGCCTGACACACAGTAGGCACTATGTAAAGGGGTCTTAAATAAAAGTCTGGTTTACACTGAAGTCCCTAATTTCCCCCCCCAAACCATCGCCCCCTCTCCCACACACTCTACTCTCCACCACACTCAACTACCAGGCAGACAATGTGGTGGGCAGACTGGAGGGAGACTGGCTGGATTTGAACCCCAGTTGCTTCACTTCCTAATTATCAGATCTTAGGTCACTTACATCACCTCTGGGTGTCTCAGCATCTTCATCTGTAAAGAGGGATGATAGGATGTAACTCATAGGACTGTTAGAGGCATTAAGTGAGTTAATAATGAAAGCATTGAGAACTGAATTTCATCTAGTCAGCACTCAATAAGTGTTAGCTGTAAGTAAGTTAGCTACTCTTTTATTTTTTTTAATTACCTGCTATCCCTTAAATATGGCATGTGCTCTCACCTCTCTGCCCTTCATTTGCTGTTTCCTATCACTGGAATGGGTCTTTCCTCTTCCTCCATTCATTCCTTCTGAAATATCACCACCTTTGAGACATTTCCTCCTCTTATCCCCACAGAAGAGTGCTCCTTTGCTGACGTTCCCACAGCCCTTGTTAACCTAACCCCACTTAAGGCACTTCCTTGAGAGGATTTAGCCTGGGGTATGGCTGTGGTGTTCTTGAAGGCCTAAACGGAGTCCAATTCATTTTTCTATCCTAAGTTTAGTCCCATTTGGAACATCCGAAAGAACGCAATACACAATTCTAGCTGAAACGATTCTAGCAACAACTCATCCAAGAATGGAATATCAATACCAAGTGTGCTAGCCCTACAGACCAAACTTTCATTATTATTAATGCTTTAATTTGTCACCAAATTTCTTCCTTTTAGTTCTAGGTCAATTTCATCCAAATTATTGGTCCATGTCCAGTTTTACATCTGAACTTCTCTCATGCCTGAACTCAAGTGTACATTCTCTAAGTTTTAACAATTTCATCTAGTTTAATTTCATCATTCTTAATGTATAAAATCAACCAATGACAAAGAGGAAATGTTCACTACAACCAAAAGGGGAGGAAGGGGAATGAGAGGATAACCGCTCTATTACTACTTTTTAAAGATGCATTTTTTGTGGAGTTATATAAAATATAATTTTAAAAACTCATTTTCATACATGTAGGGCAGTGTTTGGAAGTGTTTAAAAGAAAAATACTCAAAACAACACAAATAGCACAGGCAGACCACTTACCATTTACCGTCTAACAAGGGAACCCATAAGGATTATTCCCACAAAAGCAGGCAGCAAGAGAATGGAAGCTTTTTAAGTTCACCTCAAGATACTAAGAGTTTTAGATCAATGTTACTTCATGAAAAAACAAATACCTCTTGCATCGTTAAGTAGTAATCTTCATGCAGAAATCAAAATAAAAGCAGACCGAAGACTAGATTCTCAGCTTTGCTATTTAAACTATTTAAAGGAAGAGGGACATGAATAACTAGTCACATTTGAATAAATAAAAGACCAAGGAAACTAAGAATAAATGGTCAAGAGATCAAGAAATTGCTAGATGTGGCTAAATTCATCCAGAAAAATATCAAATCTGCTTAAATCTTCAAATAATTCACCACAGTGAGTGTTGGAATTTGCCTATAATTGCTGAGTTTCAGATTCTTGGCCCAATTTCTTAGATACTCCATTGAGGTGGCTTCTCTCCTAGACAGGCTCCTCCAGTTTTAAGAAGGGATGTCAATCCTACCCGCAGATGAGATTGTTAAGCCTATGGCTCTATGTTCAACGGCAACATGGAATATCTGCACTCCAGGAAAAAGCAAAGAGCATGGCCTTTAACTCAGGCTGCCCAGCAGTGACTAGTAGCTGACAGAATCACCCCACAAGGATAGTGCCCAATGGCAAATAAATGAGGGGCATACTTGGACTATGACAGACTAGCAACAGCTTGTGTTGAGACCTTTTAAGAGTACATTTACTGTACTGCCCTTGAGCTATCACGAGGGACATAAGAAATGGCCTGCGGAACCCACAGACATATATTTGTGGTCATGAGGTAGTTTCAAATGCAGTTCGCTCACAGCATATGAAAGGACCTGGGGAGAAACTGCCCTCAGATAGCAGTACAAGGAAACCTCTCTCCCAAGTAAATGACCTCACTGATCATCTCCTCTTTGCTTCGACTGCTAGAAAACTCAGTCACCTCTAGCAAGTACATCCCTATTTTCCACTAACCCCAGTCCTGACTTCATCTTACTTTCCCTTTATCCTGTTTTTCTCATCTACCCTCACTTGATTTTTTTTTTTTTTTTAAAGATTTTATTTATTTTATCTTTTTCCCCCCAAAGCCCCAGTGGATAGTTGTATGTCGTAGCTGCACATCCTTCTAGTTGCTGTATGCGGGACTCGGCCTCAGGATGAACGGAGAAGTGGTGCCTCAATGCGCACCCGGGATCCGAACCCGGGCCACCAACATCGCAGCGCGCGCACTTAACCACCAAGCCACAGGGCCGGCCCGACCCTGACTTGATTTTGATACATCTTGTTGGACTGTAAATATACGTATATGACTTGAGCCATCAGAAATCCTGAAAAGAGGCAAGTTGAAATGAACAAATAAACAAAGACACAAGTTCCCAACCAGTAAAAATGAAATGTTTCATTTTCCCCGACTCTCACTACTTGGCTAAAATTCAACTGCACTTATTGATATGATGTGACAGTTTAATAAAAATACAACCAAAAAGTTAAACCTGCTTCCATGTCACTTATTTTACTTCCTACTAGTTGATCAGTCTCATACTCCATTTATACGCATATTCCTCAATTTAGGTTCCTCAATTATTTTATCTCCAAATTAAGTAAAATTATTTATTTGCAGATATAAAAATGACAGTCAAGTATGGGTATCTACTCTCACCTACTCTCCTGAAAGTCACCCACCTGGAGAGAACTAATTCATACAAAGCCTGATGGCACGCAGATTTAATGCACAGAAAAGGTCAAAGGCTATTGGGTTTAAAAGGCTTAATATAGCTGCCAAAAATGAATCCCAGTGATCCTCAGAGAATCCACCTAAAAGTTATATATACCCATATGTTCAAACACACACAAATACACTAGCACACACACCCAGAGCACACTCCTGAGGATGGAACTCAGAGTAATTACAGAAAAGAGAAAGGCCACATAGTCCAGAACATGAAGCAGCCTGCAGATTTGGGGAGCCTGGAGAAACTTAAGTCATAGATCATTTAAATATATTTGTCTGCTTACAATTTCCATTGCAAATGTGATTAGTTGCTTGAATAAATAGGAATACGATGTGTTGGCCATGTTTTCCTCTTGAGGGTTATCAGAGTTTTGATTAAGGACAAATGTTTGAAATGGGTATATTTAAGTTCACTGCACTTAAAATGAGCTAAGAATTTGTATTGCCTTGATTAAAGGGCTGCCTTCGTGAACTTAAAATTAAAAGCAATAAATTCCAATGATTCAAGTGATTGGGACTAAATATGGTACTCTGCCAGAAAAGTTGAAATGGAGTCCAAAGAGACTGAAATGGTGTCCAGGTTTCAAGAAATGGTGAAAGAGGAAAGGTCAAGCTGTCAGAGTTGCCTTTCCTCTGGGTTAGTGAATGATTCACATTACGCAGAATTCCTTTTAAGTAGAACTTCACAGGAGTTATAGGCTCCCAGGACAATCTGTTTTGTCATTTCTAAAAAGAAGCCTCTCAAACGCTCAAAGGCCGGTACCTAAGTGTTGTCAGATGGGGAGAGGGTGGAGAAGGATGAGAAACGTGGGGGCAGGAAGGTAGGAGGGTCCTACGGAGTTTTCGTGCACACGCGCGCAGGCCAACTCTCCCAGTCTCCAAAACGGAAGTCAAGGTGACTTCCCCAACCGCGGGAAGGCGGAGCTTTTGAAACCTAATAGGATCTGGCTTCAGCCGGGGCTGTGACCCCTGGAAGGAGAAGCCCGGGTCAACAACAACCGGGGTCAAGAGCAGAAGCGCGCTGGAGCGGCCGAGGGGACCTGCTTGACCCTGGCCCTCCCCCGCCCCGGGCGCACCCGGCTTCTCCTTACCGGCCTTGGCTCTGCCCGCCTGGCGCCGGCCAGGCACCAACTCCCCTCCCGAGCCAAGTGGGAGGATCCTGCTGGCAAAGTTTCTGCTGCAAGGTCGGGCCTCGGTCCCCGCACGGGCCGCATGTGCTGGCTGCTAGGGGTGGTCACCTCCCTCTTCCCGCTGCTGCAAGGTGTTACCGGTTGCCCCGCGCCCCTTCCATTTACTTTCTCCATTGCACGACCCCGGCACGTGCACGCCCGAGACTCTCGCGCCCCTCGGGCACTGGCCGGCGGCGCGCTCCCCGGGGCACCGGGCCGACGCTTACCTTGGCGGCCGCCATGCTTCGCCCCGGGTGCGGCGGCTGGGGGACGCTCTCACCGGCTTGCTGGCACTGCGGGCCCGGGCGGCTCACTTCCCGTCCCGGCGGCGGCTGGCGCGGCGGTACAGGCAGCAGCGTGCGCGCCCGGCCTGCCTCCCCACGCCCTCCC